GTGTCTATGTATGTGTATATGTCTATTAAGCCTTTCAGTACAGTAAAGTTAAAAAATAAAAACAAAAACAAATAGCTGTCAAATCAAACCAAAATGATTAAAAATGATCATTTCAAAGATCTGTTGTGTTTTCTTTGGCTGCACCTTTGGCCATAAATGGTAATTGCAGTGTGTTTGTTGGCAGACTGCCTACATTGTGATTTGTACTCCCATTTAGAGCACTGGTTATTCAGATTTGGTCATCTTAAAAGTTTGTATCTGGATCAGCGTGATCCAATCCAGTGTTGCTTTAAAAACAAACAGCACACAAGTATTATGGATTATTTGCTCCTGGTTAGCAAAACATGGGATTTACAAATCTGGATTAGTCTGATCCAGATTAAATTTTTATCAACTGGGCCCTGGTCTTGAAATACTGACAAACGACTCAGCGTCATAAGGTTTTCCTTTCAAAACGGTATTGTATTTGTACAAACATTGTATTTACGGTCTTTTATATCAAGTCCTGTCAAAGCACAGAACTAGTAATCATGTTTATGTTGTACCAAATGTGTAAGTCATTTTTAGACAGAGTCAAAAGGTGTGTCATCAATTGATTGACTTATCTTATTTTAGGAGACTATGACAAAACTCAGCAGAGAGATCTGACTTTCTAATGATCAGATCAACTTCCTTTGTTCTCTCTCAGTGATGACTCACTGTGTGTGTGTGTGTGTGTGTGTGTGGGTGTGTGTGTGTGTGTGTGTGTGTGTGTTTCTGCCTGGTTTGGGGTATTTCAACATGTGATTTCCCTTAAGTTATTTCCTCTCTGCTTCCCTCCTTACGTTTGTGTCACGTCCACCTCAGTGCCAGCCTACATGTCAATAATCCCTCACTTTTCCCCCCAACACCACCACCAGCTCCAGCTGTGGGACACAGCAGGACAGGAGCGTTTCCGTAAGTCTATGGTGCAACACTACTATCGTAATGTCCACGCCGTGCTCTTCGTATATGATGTCACCTGCCCTGCCAGCTTCAGAAGCCTAACTTCCTGGATAGAAGAGTGCAGGCAGAACTCCCTCGGGCAAGAAATCCCCAGGTAATGTACTATTACTGCATTCAATCAGATCAAATTCTTTGTAGTTTAGTCAACATCCGATAACCATATTACCTTATGCAAGGCACAAAGTCATCACCCATATTTATTCCTTTCTGCTGCCTTTTCTCTTCCCAGGTTTTTGGTGGGTAATAAGAGTGACCTCCGTGATCCCAGCAAGACTGACAACCAGGTGAGCAAGGAGCAGGCGATGAGCTTCGCCAAAGCCAACGGCATGATGTGTTTTGAGACGTCCGCCAAGGACCCCCTTAACAAATATGGGAATGCTCAGAGAGGTGACGGGGAGCTTCTGTGTCAGCAGGATAAGGTGGATGACATTGTTGTTGCTGTTGGTGCCAAACTGAAGAGACAGAAGAAACCTTTAGCAGCAAACCCCTCGGCGTATGGCTCCTTTAAAGTCATGAGCAAGAAGAGAGCAGAGAAGGAGCTGTGGACTTGCTGCTGAGAGGGGGGAAGAGAAATGTGATGTTCTTGTGTTTAGCTCTTTCTAAGTGCATGATTGTGTGTGAATATAAGTGTGTTTGTGTGAGGCAGAGAATGACCACGTTGTGCATAATATTCATTTTTGACCAAAGACAAAATTGCAGATCATTTACACTGGAAATACAGTTTCTGTTAGTCCCACACAGAAATTAAATTTTTATACTCTTAAATATGTGAGAGGTCCTGTTTTGGAAATATTTTGTATATTTGTGATCTTATTGTTTACAATCGCTGTAAAATTAAAGCCTGTCAATGGAAACATTTTGTGAGGGCTCTGATCCAGGTGACCTTTTAGACAGTCATGAATGGAAAGTTTGTCGCGTGGGGGTTGAAACAACTATGCATTAGCAATGTAGCCAGCTATATATATAAGGGTCTGGGTGCAACCCCAAGCCGGGCAGATCAGCCAAAATAAAGAAACTCAACCAACCTGGAATAATAATAAAAATAATAATAATATTAATAATAATAATGATAATATTAATAATAACAACATAAATAAATAATCCGCAGACAAAAAAATATGGAAACTGCAGTTGTAACAATATAACAATACAAAATTTTAGTCCAAACTTCATATCAGTAACCATTAGATGCAACAATAACCTGGTTGAGCCTGCCGGACTCTGCTGACCTGTTCTGGAGTATTCCGATGACGCCCTGTTTATTTATTATTATGTAATTATTGGAATTGGTGGTAACAGGGTAAAGGTAGGTTTTAATAGTAGTAGTTTTAATATACTTTTGTCCCCTTTTGTCTTTTTTTTCTTTTTTCCCCCTTCCCCTGTAGAGTAAAGACACAGACACAAACACACACACAGCAGTCAACATAAACTTGTCCCCTTATTCCCTGACAACACTTAATTTACTGGCCTGTATTCACTTTTGTATTCAGTGTAGCTAGCATGATGGACTTTTGGTTTCATAAGGCATCCATGCAGGGGCATCATGGTAGGGGGAAAATGGAAGTGATTACGCAGGGTCCCTATAGGAGGGGCCCCTCAAAAAGCCTGGAATGAAAAGTTTGGATTTATTTGCAATTTTTTATTTGTAAGTAATTAGTGCCACAACTAAAAGACTGAACTTTGTGTAAAAAAAAAAAAAAAAAAAAAAATAGCGGAGGCTCTCTGAGGCCCCTCTCCCTTAAAGGCGCAAAATGGTTTAGTACGACTCTGCACTAGGATTCATCTCTAAACACAGCCAGAGCTGAGTGAGTGACTGCTTATGGCACTGGAGCACCAACGTACACTGTCATGTCTTTCCCAAGACAGGGAAGTCAGGGTTCTAAATAAATTAGAAAGAAGAAAAAGAAAGGAGAAGGAAAGAAAGCAGACTCTGTAAAGGAAGTTGTGTGAGAGAGACACGGACCAAGAGAGGAAGAGTAGGGGGCCCACAGAGACTGCTTATGCATTGGGCCCAGAATTTGGTGCTACGCCCCTGCATCCATGTTTGTTTTGCTTATAGGTGCTAACATATTATTTAGTACCAAGTCGGATAAATTGAGTTAACAGAAAAATCTGGATAAGTCATCAGAAGTAGTTCAACATTTTGCAGGTAGAGAAATAAACAAGAGATGTTGATCTACTATAAATATTAGCGTAAGTGCCCCTTTTAACATATACTCAAGCAACTGTAGAGATAGCTGAACAGTTAATGTACAGATACATGATGAAAACTAATTCTTTATTTCACTGTGTTTGATGCACAAATGAAGCTGGGAAAAGGCTTAAAAAGTTTTTATAAAACCTGTGAAAACTCAAATAATGACAGCTTATCCACTCACTTTTCGCTATGAGTAACTTTGGAACAGTGGTGTTATGGTGTGGGACGATCTAATCCTAGTTGTTGAGGGTTTCCCACCCCAGGACCATGTCCAAATGAACAAAACATCACAGTAGTCATGCACCAGTCTTGTGCATGAGCAGTGTGGGCAGCGTTTATCACATGTGCTGTGATTGTGTGTCCAATCAGTGATTCAGAGGCCGTCACATGATGAAAGCAAACGTCTTCTGCTCAGTGAACAAGGCAGCTGTAGATCCTATTACCACCAAAGGTAATGGCAGTAGAGTATTTGTGTGTGTGTGTGAGTGAGTGTGTGAGTGTGTGAGTATGTGAGTGAGTAACTGAGTGACTGAGTGACTGAGTGAGTGCATTTGCGCACATGCAGGTGTCACATTTGTGCAACATTCAACAGCCAACTGGTAGATGTCTTACTCAATACTCAGGAGAGATGACATCTGGAGGAGGATAGTATTTTTTAGATTTGTCCAATTAACAGTAATTTTAAACTTAAATTTTAAATAAAAAGCAATGAGCTTAAAGGCATACTACACAGGATTTGTCACTTACTGTCTGTAATAACAACGTTCAAACATGGCTCCTCCTACTTGGTTCAAAGAGACTGACAGAGCTCTCTGTAGGTCAAGGGATGTAGAGAGTGAATGAAGAGAGGGAGCAGGGTTAACGAAAACAAACTAGTGCATCAGACCAATAAAACATTAAGTTGTATTTCCCTGAACGTTAAAGCAACACAATGGAGGACTGCGCTTTTTACATCATGGGGTCCCCCTACAGATGAAAAACGGTATTGAATGTTGCAAAAATCTTTCTGCGCGTGCATCTGTTGACAAGCGAATGATACCAGCGAACTTCCTGAAGCTGGCCGTGTAATGCGCGATCATCATGTCTTCAGAACAGGTAAAGTAGCCTTATAGCATTTTGTACATACATGATTAGGCCGATTGCTTTATTTATTTATTCATTTTAGAAACTCAGAAATGAGTTGCTCTCTGCATGTCAGGGCTGACCTCCTCCTCACAGCGCGCGCGCGCGCACAGACACACACACACACACACACACACACACACACACACACACACACACAAACTCAACAGAGTGAAGTCAGACAACAGCAGAGAGGTCGCAGTGCAGATGAAGGGAATATAACTTAAAGATGACTCTAGTTGACGACAGTTTTGCTTGTTACTGTGAGTAAGTGTGATAAAACTTCTGCCAGCCAAGCCAGTACTTTATCAATACATGTGATCAGCATGTAGAAAGCCATATTTCAATCTGCTCTGTCCACAGTCTCTCATTCACCACTATTATGATTTACGATCGCGGTCGACACAAGCACATTGCACTTGCGGTGCTAACAGCAAACTGTTAAAGACAAACTAAAATGAAAGCTGTCTGTATGTAGGCTAACACTTTATCTTAAAATGTACCTGAGGCAGCCGACCTGCAGACAGTGAGTCTCCTAAGTAGAGGGTAACAGCAGTAACAGCGCCAGGTCACCATCGGTCGGGCATCCCTCCTCCTCTTTCAGCTCTCGCCAGCGTGTGAAAGCTGGGCCAATATTAATCTTTGTTCGAGCTCTTGTTTTATCGCTCTCCCCTTTTTTTTTCTTTGTCTCCTTGGACAACAGCTGCACATTCTTCCTTTTCTTTGTCGCTTCAGCCATGACCACCACATCTAACTTCATTCACCTCGGTTCGGCTACGCTCCTCTAAAGAGAGGAGGGGGATATGACGTATGCCGTAAAGCAGCCAAATTTTGTAGTCTTTTTTTGTGTCTGGGTTCCTACCCGAACCCCGAAACTGCATAGTGCCAGTGCTAGTGAAAAAGACGCTCTCAAGCAATGACGGAGGTGTCATCCAACCTATTGTGAGCTGATGTACCATCACAAGGATCTTGGATATATATTTTGAGGGCTCAAGAACTTTGCTTTAAAGCTATAGTGCGTAACTTTTGTCGCCTCCCAGCTGATAATGCGTTATTACAACTAATAAGCCACAGAGTAACACTCGGCAGTCGCCACACACCGTACACAGAGTAACACTTGCCTTTGTGGTAGGATCCACTTCTGAACCGTGTCTCGGCCGCTTCTCCGCCATGTTGCTTTCTCTTTCTACCTGCGCTCTACCTCTTGCTATGAGACTCTCCGCTCGTCCTCCCCCTCCCTTCTTGTTGTGAGGAAGCATTTCCTGTGCGCCAGCGCGGGAATGTCGCCGGTAGACACGCAAACTAAAAATGATATATAATGAAAAATACTGCGAGATGTTAGAGGAGCCGATCGGCTTAATCAGCATTGTGTCATCTCCTCTAGTAGTGGCTTGGGTGAAACAGACATTTACGGACCTGTAGAAGTTACGCACTCTAGCTTTAAGTCTAAAACCTAAAATGGTGCAAAGCTAATATACAGGGATAAAAAATAACATATATAGTATAAAATTTGTAGAAGCAGAGCAGGGATCTGTGGTACAACTTCATCTCCTTCTAAGGTGCATGGAGTTGGAAAAAGTCTGAAGCAATATTAAAATTATTTAAACAATATAGTCACTCATTCAGGTTTGATTTTCAATGTAGCTACTCCAGAGAGCATTTATGTAACACATTACTGACAGACTGAAAATAATGGCTGTAGCTACCGTGACGTCACCCATTGGTTTGTGGACTCCCACTCTGACTTCAACTAAAGTTTGGTATGTTGAACGTTGCCATCTTGTTTTTTTTTTTGTGTTTTTTTTTTGGGGGGGGGGGGCCTAGAAGTGGTCACCATTTGGGCTAGAGAGTGGAACTGTGGAGGAGCGAGAGGTGGATCTGTCTGAGATGACAAGCCCTCAACATCGCATCATGTTAGATAACTTAAGGGAGTCGGTGTCCCTGACCTGACTCTGCTCCACAGCTGTATGGCAGAATGGAGGAGAGAAAGGCTATATGCTGCATTATCACACCGGCTGCTACCCATTACACCAGCTAGATTTAGGGTCCCCCTTACATTAGGGTGCAAAGTCCACACTATTCTGATTGCAGTAACATATAATGCTAACTAATGTGACTGATGTCACATATCTTCATGGTTTGGCTTCACAAATTACCACACTGCCAAAAGCCAATATACAGTCTTTTACAGAGGTTGTATTCCACCCCTGCATTGATCGATTTATTCGTTGATTTATGTATTCAGTAACAGTAGCTGTGCAATGCCTCTTCTACTGTAGCATCTTGCTGGATTTTAGTTGGTTGTAAAGAACTTTCAATGTATGCTGAATAAAAATTTAAAGACAAAACTTTTGTTTTTGCTCCCATTTTCCACAGGTTTGAGTTAAAGATCTGAGATGTCAATTAAAGATGTGAATTTTAATGTAAACATCTCCTTGGTATTGAGTTTTATGTTCCTTGTTTTGTGTATTGTCTTTGTGTTATATGTTGAATGAATAATAACTTAAAAAAAAAAAATCGAAGACTTTTTATGCCCTCAT